GTAGTCGGTGCTGAAGTGCGAACATTTTGAGAACATGAACCTCGGTGCCCGGAAATTGCACTCTCATACCTTTAAAAATCTGACTGGTAATTCATAATCAACAATAAACAAATATTCTTCCTAATAAAATTTGAGTGGGTGCGATGGCACCGTCTGCACCCAACCCCCCCCCCCTACCACCACATCCGCATTTATATCAATTGTATCCACTAAGTTCGCCCAATTATTTATTTGAATCGGATGGTAGGTCCCTCGCGACGAAGCACAGTGTATACTTATTTATATGTCAGTAAAAAATGAAATCATTTCAAATTTGTTCCATAATTTTAACAAGCTGAATGTGCAAGTTATGTTTGATTGCGTCAGAGAAAGTAGAATTTGGCTTACAAACGATATTGAGTTGTATTGGTCCGGCAAAAACCGAAACCGGACCAGCCGAATCCGCTCCTTGGGCACGCCGGCACATGATGATTATATATGGGCATATATATATATATATATATATATATATATATTTCATAGTAAAACATTTGAATTCTGAGAGTATGAATATGATTCTAATGTAATACATGAGTTACGTAATTTTTAAAATACCATACAATATTTGACCTTGAATGACCTATTTGTGGCAATCTGACCAGGTAAAAAATGGTAATGGTATGGAATATACATTGAATGACCTTAAATGACCTTTTATGATCTTAATGACCATCTGACCATGTCACAAGTGTTATAAATCCTTGACCATGAAATATAATTTTAGATATCATAATTCTCATTAAAGTGGTTTAAAAACCGATATATTGATAAATATAGGTTTTGCGTGGCAGCAATTTTGAAATCCAAGATGGCCGCCAGAATGACCTCGAATGAAATATTGTAGTTCATAGTAAAGATTTTGAATTCTGAGAGTCAGGGTATGGTTCTAATGTAAAATATGACAATTATGTAATTTTTAAGATACCATACAATATTTGACCTTGAATGACCTATTTGTGGCAATATCAGGTCAAAAATGGTATGATGGTTTTCCTTGACCATATAAAAATAGTTTCAGACATTAGAATTATAATTTCAAGTGGTTTAGAAGCGAAGATATAGATAAACATAGGTTTTATTAGGCGGCCATTTTGAAATCCAAGATGGCCGCCATAATGACCTCGGATGAGGTGGTTCCTACCAAAAATTGAATGCTATGACCATAAGAAGCATGTAAAAAAAAATTGGTGCTTTTGTCTGGAACATCCATATCCATCTGCTAAGCTGCCGGACTAATGTGCTTTTGCATTTAACTGGCTTTTGAAAGGTGGTGAAAAATGTGTGAAGACTTGTCCCAAACCAAGTGGTCCTTTGATCATGTGTCTAGGTGTCTATTGGTTTTACCACGGAATTGCACCAAGCGCATTAATAATAATTAAAATAAAAGTCTGTCTCATTAAAGTGATTAAGCTTATTAATTGAAGAATGAATATCAAATTCAAATTAAAAGAATGAACAAAATCAACTCAAGCACATATTTCAAATATGAATATTTAGAAGTATTAATCTGGCATTTAGATACAATGGTTAGCAATAGTCAGAATGGCAGGCTTAAACTGCTACAGAAGGATTAACATTGAAGATATCCTAGTGTTGCCCTGTTTATTCCCTTTCACAATTTTCAACTAATGACTTTTTAATGTCTTCCATTCACTTGAATACTGAGCCGTTTTAGAATAGCAGAGAGGCTCAATGGGATAATAACTTTCTTAAATTTTGTAATTATTCCAATTTCAAACAACATTTTAAATTTTGTAGGCTTTTTTCATCACTCACTTCATGGAAAATGCTTCAATCAAGTTCTATTTATATTTTAACGGTTGCTGTTTGCAGAATGAAATCCTGTAATGCCAATTTTAAAAGTTTTATCTGTAAACTATTTTATTAACTTTTGATACACTATTTTAATCTGGTGTATTGTATTTGCGTCTGTGTTATTCTGTTAATTGTATGTTATTTGGCCAGGGGGCTTAGAGGATACCCACATCCTGTGTTGGGCTCTCATCGTGTCCTCTTGGCACCCCTCTGGCCATTTCCTGAATTGTGATTTTTGTGCTGAATATATTATAAACAAATAAACTTGCTGACTGCGTATCAGCATTTTAACTTTGTTTGATTTTTAATAGACACAAATATCCAGTGTAATGTTTACATATATTTTAGCTTAGTGAGCTTAGTGTTTGGCTGAGAGGTTCTTAAAACCCTGGTTCAAACCTGTCCAGAGACAAAATTTCCAATTACAAATATTTGTAATTGGGCAGAATTTTTTTTTTAACCAGTTGAGTGGTGTCAATGCCTAATAATGTACACTTAGTGCACAGAAATTTAAATGTAATTTAAAATCTACTTATTTAATAGTATACAAACCACCAGCAAATAGCTTACCATCTCCATAGCTTTCACGTATAGCAGTGTACTCCCCCGGACAAGCGTACACAGTCAGGCTATCAGCTAATGCTGGCTTGCTTACCAACCTTCCTTGGCTAAGTGATCGCCTTCAAGAAGAAAAACAAATAATTGAAATTATCAAAATTCATTTCATGTTTTCATCATCAATAGCAGAGAAGTCCATGTAAACTGTGGCTTGACTGCGAATGTACATCAAATTCATAATAATCAATTATATCGCAAATATTCAAAACAAAAACAACCTTTCTGCTTCATTAGGTAGCCTATTTAACTCCATACATACCAAAATTGCTTTGTGAGTGGTTAATTCATGTAAACATGTTATATACTGTAGCCTAATTCGCATTTTTTAACACTGTGGTAGACATCTTCGATCAATGACAAACAATACTGAGCAGCGAGGCGTAACCAACAGAAATAACATAGTGTTTCGGCCATATTTTTGGAGGTCATGTTACTAAAAAAATCCTATCCTTAATGGAGGGTCGTGTCAAAATTTTTTTTTTTTAAATGTTCGCAAATGTTATATCTACGTCCTGTATAAATAAGAAAAAAATTGAAAATTTGTTTAGTCTGTCAAAACTTTACTGAAAAATAAAAGATCAATTTTGTATAGTGTGTACTGCTATTTATTTCAATTAAGTTTTGACAGAAAAAACAATTTTTAATTTTTTTGTTACTCATACAGTACTTAGATATATCCTTTGCGAACATTTTAGAAAAAAAATTATGTCAATACAACCCTCGTTAAGGAGTTATGATTCTTAAAGTAACATGACCTCCGAAAATATGGCCGGCACGCTAAATGATATTCGGTCGAACAGCGAACAGTAATGGCAATGTGTATTAACATTACACAAAATCAGTCTTCCATACATACCAAAATTGTTTTGTGAGTAGTTGAATCATGTAAACATGTTATATATAGCCTAATTCGCCTTTTTCATGCTGTGGTAGACATCTTCGATCAATGACAAACAATACTGAGCAGCGAAACGTAACCAACAGAAATAACATAGCGTTTTTCATTTACCAATTATGTTGTGACAGACTAAACAAATTTTCAATTTTTTAAAATTTATACAGTACGTAGATATATCATTTGCGAACATTTTAAAGAAAAAATTATGTTGATACGACCCTCCGTTAAGGATATATGATTTTTTGAGTAACACGACCTCCGAATATATGGCCAAACGCTATGTTTTTTCTGTTGGTTACGCTTCGCTGCTAAGCATTGTTTGTCATTGCGTGTTTAAAATCTTTCGTTCCATTCCCATGCAATATATTGATTCCCACGATCAACTGCAGTACCGTCTCTAACCAAGTCCAGTCAGCCAGGACTGTGTTTTACCATGTAAATATTATTTGGGCAACCTTAGTATAATGCAGCGTACGTTTTTTTGTTTTTTTTTAAACCTGTTTTCTGTAGATCTTAATAAATTTGAACACTAACTTGCCACTTCTAAAATATTTTGCAGGGATACATCAAAAACCAATTCAAATTTGTGCAAAATCTCTAGAAAAATAGTTGTGGGTATAAAATTTGTTTTTAATACATTCTATCTACCTATAAAAGGAGAGGGGCTGCAAAGGAAATGTATACACAAATAGGCTAAAGCGTAAAGTACGATATTGCCAATATTTTCATTATTCGAAATAATATGTTTTTCGAACATAGCTCTTCATCTATTTAGATGTCTATCGTTCATATTTAATCTTTTACATTAGGCCTATACAAACCATAAAACCCAACCCTAAAAATACAGATAGAATGATTATTAAAATCGATATCACAATCATAAATGACATTAATATACTTTATTATTTGTGAAGAAATTCTCATAAACCTTAGGCCACGGGAATGAAAGTTGTAGGTTTGCGTCCACCGCCCGCATGCCTAAAAAGCTACCGCACGAAAATTTTCATTATTTTGAAAAGTTCATTATTTTGAAAAAAAATATACTTTGTTTTAAAAAACGGACTTTCTAAGTCGTAAACAGACAGAAAAACGATCTATTCATCACTGATCACTCGTCGCGAACACCGAGCGAAGGCAGGCCTGGCCACATCGCACCATGATCGTCGATGACCACTGCTGAGGTCATTTACGGGTCAAATCGATCTTTCTGACCAATAGGAAATCTTGTATGTTCAATTTCCACAATGTATGCTCTGAAGCATTCCTTTGCATTTCACAGCAAGCGTGAGTAATCTTTACTTTCTATTCAATACCTTTTTTGATCTCTATTTACATATGAACGAGTGAAATAGTTTTCTCTATCAAACTACAGGTATATAATTCCAGCATTGAGGCTAACCAGCACTTTTAAAGAGGTCTTAAATGTAGAAAAGGATCTGTTTTATAGGCTAGTGTACATTTATGACTGTAAGCATTGTTTCTTGGGAATAAATGTAAAATTTACAATGCCGCGGCTTGTGGACAGCATTTATAAAAAAAATAATGAATAATGAAAAATGGAAAAATGCCTCATGTGTTTTCAAAATTTTTCGGACGCAAACCTACAACTTTCATTCTCGTGGCCTTATTTATAAAAAGCAAGAAAAAAGACAGCATTATCGGCGCTCCATACTTTTTGACACTCGATCAATTCACTCAGCAATAATACGGCGCGGTCGCCCTACTACTAGAGACCTAACTAGACTAGCTTGGTCCTAGCTAAAGGGCTATGTTGTCTAAGTCTATACAAATAGGCTTAGGCCTAGGCCTACATCGCGGAGGATAATATATTTCCCGCACAGGCCTTATTTATACATTTTGGGGCGCTAGTGCACTTTCGCACCTAACATTTTAGGGTTAGCATAGGCCTTGGCTTGCCTGGCTTTTACAACCAGGACATCGTCAGCAGTTTTGTGTAATCAAGGTTAATAAAACAGTTTAAGATCGATAGGTACATTATCTCCACATAAACTGTATATCAAATGTGTTTCTTAGATACTTAACCTCTTTTCCTTGTTGCTGTCTTCAGCTGGAGCCGCTCGATACAACGACCGCTTATCCGACATTTTGTATTTCCCGCATTGAAAATATCCGGGGAAACCAAAGCTATTTAAAATATATTTTGATATAATAGTGATTTAAAATATATCTTTTATCCATTAGTTCATAAGAAAATAACTTCAATGATAATAATTAAGGGAGAATTATTTATAGCACATTAATCTAAATATACTTAGGCCTAGGCCTAGTCTATGTTTTGAATATCGTTTGGTTTTGGAGCGTATCCCGTCAAGGCTGTAGGTCAAAGGGCATCACATTTTCTCCACCAAAATCAAAACACAGGTTGGAGCATGGCGATACATCACCATGGTTGGGGAGATGGAAATGACTACCTCTGTGTGTAATCAACCGCCGTAGCCTGACTTTGCTGATAGAGCAGTTGTATCATCAGACAATTTAAATTTCTGTTTTTTTTAAATGTTCAATGAATTTTCCACTACTTTACACATCAATTTTCAGGCTAGGCCTAGCTATATCCTCTAGGTAGGAGGAAAAAGGAGGAGGTCCTACCTTATTCTATTGTCTGCTGTAGCTTGTTTAGGCCTAGGCCTACTCGAGTGTTAGTCCATCATTCACCAGGAATATAGGATCTGTGATGTGACCAGGACAATTGGGCCAGACTGAGTCGATCCACAACATGCTCTCTTTCCTCCAGTCAACATCCAACTCAACAACTAACTAAGCCTATTTTGATTCCAACCAACCGTGGTGATTAAGGTCATCATGTATGTGGTGAGCAATTTTTTATGGTGGAACGCCCTGGTTACCGACGAGGGTGTATCAAGGGGTGGATTTAGGGGGCCGTGCCGACCCTCCCCTTTTTGAAAAGTAAAAAAATGAAAAATAAAGAAAGTAAGAAAAAGAAAAAAATTGATCATCCAAAATGTCTCAGAGGTTATTTTTGGGTGTCTAGAAAACAAAAATTTTGTGGGGCCCCCTGGTGGTGGAGTGTTACAGTATCTCAATCAGCCCCACTTTCGGCGCCCCCTTTCGGACATCTCTGGATCCGCCCCTGGTATCCCCATCAGACTGTGGTTTGGGTGCTGGCTTTGCTAAGAAACTTTCATCTTTATTTCTTAAATATTTATTGTCATTCTGAGTTTCGTATATCTTTACACTTGTTTGTAATGCACATAGAGACGGTGTTTATTTTAAATTCATTAAACCATTAGTGATGCTTACATGATATTTTTTAGTGTATTATTTACACCTAAACAATGCTTGACTATAAGTAGGGCTTGCAAAATTTTAATGCTAGAAATCCATCTACCAATTTTGAAAATACAGTAAGAAAGGCCCATTTCCGCACAAAGTTTTATGTTTCAATACTCGAGGACTATTTTGCACAGTCGTTATGATGAGTGCGCACAAAATTCTTTAGCAATTTTTAATGCAATTTTTATTTGTGTTTAATGTATCTCCACACATAAAATAAATAGTGTGGTACCAATTGTCTCAATGAAAAGTTTGATACTGACATAAATCTGGTATTTATTTGCAAACAAAAACATTGTTTAGTATTATTACATTTTAATAACTATTTCTTTATTGTGCTTTTCATTTTAGAAAACATCATTGTTGCTTATGAAAAACCAACTCTTGCGAGTTGCATTTTTTTGTCACGTTATGGCGTTCCGAGATTCTGTTGTCAGTATTGGATCTGTTTCTCCCAAATCCTGCAGTATTTCCGCATCACGGCTGCGACATGCATACTCTCAACGAGATATTAATTACACTGGACTCCATTCTCAACAACACATACCTCTATCAACAATAAGTAAGTATTGCTGTATTATGCTTTAAAAAATACCAGGGTAAGTGTAAACAATGTAATTTCAAAACTATTTGTGGTGAAGACAAGCTAAACCAGTTACTTTTCGCAAATCGTTGGAATATCAAAATATGTTCAAATTTATCAAAATTTTCTAAACCTATTTTTATTGCACACTAAAGCAAACTTTATGTATCTATACATCATGCCTTGTTGTTTTTCTTTCATGTCCAATGTTACAACAACATTGTAATGATTTGGTGGTTGTCTCTGGCTGACAAATGACCAAAATTGTAAACTTTAATACTGTTTTTTAAACAGCTGTATCCTATAGAATGTTGAATGCTTTTACCAATTCATAATTTTCATTTTAACAGTGTTATAACCCTACAGTATGTTAATAACTAAAAAAGTCAATTTATTTTTTGCAAGGAGTGAATGGTTTGGCTTGTCTTTGCCACATTTTTTTACCATCCTGTTCTTTTCCTCTTATTCCTTTACAGGTCGTCACACAGTTTTTTAACCTTTCATTCTACTATTTTTTTTTACATACTTTTTTTTAAAAATAATAATTGTTAAAATAACTATTGTTGATACAGACATGATTCTGCTATTGCTAATTTCCAGAACAGGAAGGCACAAGGTCTAGTAGACCTATCGAAAGTGCTGTATTATTGAAAATAACAACTTTATTTTAAAATGGAAAAAAAAAACCTTGTATGACCATATTGGTGCATTTTTGGAGTAATTTTATCCTATGTCAATTTTAATTTCATGAATTTCAAAGACTTTTAAGCTTTTATTATTTAATGATATACTGTACTCTCTATGGGGAGCTGTATATACTTGAAAATCATTGTTATTATTGTCAATAGTCATTTCATTTTTTTTTCCTTTTTCGTTTCATGTATTTTGCAAAATTTGTTAAAAAAATACATGCAAAAGACAAAAAATACCATTGTCGGTGACAGGATAAACAAAAAGCAAACTTAATTGCTGGGAACTGTGTTTTTCTTCCAACAATAGTATAATCAGTAGCATTCAGAACATTAAAAAGGAAAATATAATATATATAAAAATAATATAATAAAAATATAATATATTGAAAAATATATTGTAATAAAATGATGATGTAGCAGCAGACATGCAATAAATAGGAATAAAATCACAACAGGTTTCAATCAGACCATTTAGGCTAGGCCTAACAGTTTTATTAAAATATCTCGAAACAAAACATGTTTCAGCAGTGCATCTGCCATCTTCTGTCTAAAAATCTAGTATATAAATGAGTGAACAAATACGTTGAAATTTCATGATAAATAAGGGAACTGAAGCGTATGAAAAAGGCATGAATAAAGATGAAGAAATACATAAGAACAAATGTGGGCTATATACAGTATGGGAAATCACATTTATTTGTCACATTACATTTGATAGTGTACAGAGCTATATACAGTATGGGAAATCACATTTATTTGTCACATTACATTTGATAGTGTACAGAGCTATATACAGTATGGGAAATCACATTTATTTGTCACATTACATTTGATAGTGTACAGAGCTATATACAGTATGGGAAATCACATTTATTTGTCACATTACATTTGATAGTGTACAGAGCTATATACAGTATGGGAAATCACATTTATTTGTCACATTACATTTGATAGTGTACAGAGCTATATACAGTATGGGAAATCACATTTATTTGTCACATTACATTTGATAGTGTACAGAGCTATATACAGTATGGGAAATCACATTTATTTGTCACATTACATTTGATAGTGTACAGAGCTATATACAGTATGGGAAATCACATTTATTTGTCACATTACATTTGATAGTGTACAGAGCTATATACAGTATGGGAAATCACATTTATTTGTCACATTACATTTGATAGTGTACAGAGCTATATACAGTATGGGAAATCACATTTATTTGTCACATTACATTTGATAGTGTACAGAGCTATATACAGTATGGGAAATCACATTTATTTGTCACATTACATTTGATAGTGTACAGAGCTATATACAGTATGGGAAATCACATTTATTTGTCACATTACATTTGATAGTGTACAGAGCTATATACAGTATGGGAAATCACATTTATTTGTCACATTACATTTGATAGTGTACAGAGCTATATACAGTATGGGAAATCACATTTATTTGTCACATTACATTTGATAGTGTACAGAGCTATATACAGTATGGGAAATCACATTTATTTGTCACATTACATTTGATAGTGTACAGAGCTATATACAGTATGGGAAATCACATTTATTTGTCACATTACATTTGATAGTGTACAGAGCTATATACAGTATGGGAAATCACATTTATTTGTCACATTACATTTGATAGTGTACAGAGCTATATACAGTATGGGAAATCACATTTATTTGTCACATTACATTTGATAGTGTACAGAGCTATATACAGTATGGGAAATCACATTTATTTGTCACATTACATTTGATAGTGTACAGAGCTATATACAGTATGGGAAATCACATTTATTTGTCACATTACATTTGATTGTGTACAGAGCTATATACAGTATGGGAAATCACATTTATTTGTCACATTACATTTAATAGTGTACAGAGCTATATACAGTATGGGAAATCACATTTATTTGTCACATTACATTTGATTGTGTACAGAGCTATATACAGTATGGGAAATCACATTTATTTGTCACATTACATTTGATAGTGTGGACAGAGCTATATATGGGCATATGACATTCATTTGTCACATTAAACTTGATTGTGTACAGAGTTATATACAGTATGGGAAATCACATTTATTTGTCACATTACATTTGATAGTGTGGACAGAGCTATATATGGGTATATGACATTTATTTGTCACATTAAATTTGATAGTGTACAGAGCTATATACAGTATGGGAAAATCACATTTATTTGTCACATTACATTTGATAGTGTGGACAGAACTATACATGGGCATATGACATTCATTTGTCACATTAAACTTGATTGTGTACAGAGTTATATACAGTATGGGAAAATCACATTTATTTGTCACATTAAATTTGATAGTGTGGCCAGAACTATATATGGGCATATGACATTCATTTGTCACATTAAATTTGATTGTGTGGACAGAACTATATATGGGCATATGACATTTATTTGTCACATATTGAATTTGATAGTGTGGACAGAGCTCAATATCGCCATATCACATTTATTTGTCATATTAAATTTATTAATAGTGTAAACAGAGCTTTAAACTAGATTGCCTGAGTCAATATATGTATAAAACCTTTAAATCCATGTGACTAGACAATGGAAAAAAGTATTGTACTGTAGGACACTACTTAACCTACATACTGATTTCTAGTATCTTGTTTTTTCCATTTTCTTATTTATAATTTTAGTAGCATGAATTTTCAAATGTTGTTTTCAAATGACTTTTTAATATTAAAAGATTATTGATCCTTTCTTGAATAAATCCATTATGGATTTAACAATGAAAAGTCAGATGCCAAGTGATTGCGTAGGATTACGTTGCTAAGTACTTGGAATTTCCTCATTGTATGCATCAGAGATCATCATAACCAGGGCCTTTCCCTTAGGAAATTCCATACAGATCAACAGTATGGCAAATATATGACAACATTTAACATCCATACAACACCCTGCACTTTGTTGATCTAATGTTTATTGCTGAATATTGAAGTGGGAAAAAAAAACTATCAGCAATTATTACTTTAACTTTTAAAGATATTATTCACCTGATTTGCTATTTAATTTGTGTGTGGAAAATACAATAAATAACAGCAATTTTTTATTGTAATGTACAGTAGGCCATTTTCTTTCAGACTTTGTATGTCAAAACTATTTTTATACAATATTCTAGTCGATGTTCTCACATTCACCTAAAGTAGGACAGTATCATCAATGTGGCTCTCAATAGCCAAACCTACACAAAAAATCACTAAACTAAAAAAAAATATCACTTTTTCATTAATGTTCCTTTGTTATTGTAAATATAAATCAGTATTTGTCTTCATATTGGTATTTGGATTCATATTTTTTCATTTTTTTTTAAAGAAAGTTTGGATCATTGAGGAGAACAGTTCTTTTTTATTGGAAATAGACATTCAATGAAAAGAAAAAAAAGTATATTTTTGGTTAATTATATTTCTATTTCCTCTATTATTATTCTTATCAGTGTCTGTTAAGTGTAAAGCAAATGAATGATATATTAAAGTATAAAAAAAATGTGGGAAAAACCAAAGTTAAAAATATATTGATCCTGAAATTTTTCTCTAACAGTTCATATCATTATGAAAGTTTAAACTTTGACACGAGTTTCCTTGTTTGTCATATCTGTTCTGTCTCTTTATTTGGTTTTGTGATATCACCTAACTTACTGTAGTTTTGATTACATAGCCTTTTGTAACAATCAGATTACCTGAAAGGAATACTATGTATACAGCATTGAAAAGTGCTAAGTGGAGCACGTACTGATATATTTTGGATGGTTTCCTGTGTTCACAGTCTTAGGAAGCTATATTTAAAATGTGGATTGTTGTAATCTTGGAAGGATAGTCGTTATGGTTTATCAGGACTTCTAGTCGTATTTTCAGTTTGAGGAGTCTTCGTGGGATAGCTTTATATTAATTTCCATGGATATTTTGGTTGGCTAATTCTCAGGCAAATGTCAATCAATTGTTGTACTATTCCTATGTCAACAGGGTCTATCAGTATTTTGCATCTGAATACTTGTATTCAAGTTCTTTCAGGACAGTGGAGCAGAACAAATGACCTTAATAACCTGGAATTTTTAGTCGATTGATTCGTGTACCTGGCTGTACAGGCTCAAGAAATGTTGGACAGAACCAGTATAGCCTTCATATGTTGGTTAAACCTTTTTGAATTAGTTAATATATTTTGAAATAATCTTTTGATTATTTGATATGGAGGAAGAATGTAGCATACATGAATATCCAAGTAAGTGTGTTTTTTATATTGTAGTCCTGATATTTATATTGGTCACCTGACTACAAGGGAGACTGGTTTGTTAACATGCTAATGAATGCAGTGCCAGTGCACTCTTTGAAAATGAGTAGCAGATTTGTCAATTCACCATCGGAAGGCCCCACTAGAGACAATTGGTGAATTTCTCATTCTCTTCCTACAATGTACTTCCTTCCTATTAGCTGTACACCTTAATTGTGTAGGCCTATTACAAAGATTAATATGTTACACTATAGGTGGTATTGTGCAATGTTAGTGTTATGTATTACTGTAATCTCAGGAATGATTTTAAAATATTTTTAGACATTTACTTTTGTTCAAATGTTGGGATATGTTGGTTACGTATTCATAGCCAAAATGCAAAAATGCTATAAGATTCTTCACTACTTTCCCTATGTGTACATAGAATATTTATGTAATACCAGCAGTGGATTCAAGGGTGGGAGGGGGGCACATATGCCAGCCTGATCTCTCCTTCAATTGATCAAAATTTTTAAAAATGGAGAAAAAAAGACAATTATATTCAAATTTTACCTCTGAGAGTGCCATTTCCAGCCATAAAGGTACAATAATCATAAGTTTTCTTACCTCAGCCTCAACCATGTTTGTGCTGAGTTGGTTCAGTCTAGTCTCCATCTGTGGGTGGTCGTCTCGATGCCCCCCCCCCCCACTCTATTTCAAATTCCTGGATCCACCACACAAAATAAAAAACTGTAAAATGAATTTAAAAGTTAATTGAATAGACGAATATAAAAATAATTTAATCAAAAACATATTCCAGTTCGTGAAGGTTTCTATGTTGGTTAACGATTGAATAATGTTTTTTTTTAAATAAAAAAAAATTAATGATGTTTAGTACAGTTGTGCACTGACTGTGGCCGATGGTGACCGGACGTTCAATGAAAAACGCGACACCACAACGCACACGCAACTAATCATTTTTTTATTACAATCCAAATTCAGACTGTCAACTTCAATCGGCAGATAGCATTGTGTCGTTTAGCGCTCACAAGAAACCGTGTTACAATCGTTGTATGACCGTCGTACGATGCATTAAGTGGTATGCTCAAGAGATATGTTGACACACGTTGACCTATCAATTTAAAAAGTTATATTGGTATCTGTAAATCAGCAGAATGAATGGTTTCAATTTGTGTCTCATTCAACGCTGATAACTTACTTAATTCTTTTAAATGAGCAATTCAAAGACTTCGAAATAATGGCAGTGTGGCCAGAAGGTCAAATGAAATTATGCCATTGGCTGGAGTAAAATTATGCTACCGATGGTACGCCTCAAATGCTGGATATATACGCAACTGCTGTGGATTTAACTAATATTTAGTACTTGATATACGACAGCTGGATATGCAGTACTTATTATGTTCAAAATAGCGTATTTGGCTAAAATTGGATTTAACACGTTTGTTGCCACACCCCCTTACCTAATAGCCTTTCTAGAGGTGAGGTGAGAAAATTTTTAAAATAGATGCTCGGAAATGGCCCTCTCGGACTTCTTTTGCTATTTATTTTTCTAAATGTAATAATAATAATACCGAACTATTTATAATGCGCCAATTCCAAATTGAATGATCAAAGGTGCGAGCGTTATTACTTAGTCTTTCGCTACTTCTTTAACGCACGAAACTAGAACATTCAATGTCCACAACTTCTTACCAGGTACCTATTTATACTCCTGGGTAGAGAGAGACAAACGTAGATAAAATGCCTTGCCCAAGGACACAAGCGACTTGCACAGCGAGAGTTACGAACCCCTGACCTCAAAGTTGGGAGTCCAAGCCACAATCGATGTGCCGACCTTTTCTACATATTGAAATTTACATCAATTTTAAATTCTAAATTATGCTTCTACATAATTAAATCCAAATTATGCTTCTACATAATGAAATTTGCGTCAATTCTAATTTATGCTGCGTTCTCATGAAATTATGCGTAGCATTAATGCTACAAGCTACAGGGGTCCAAATTAAGCCAAAAAGCATAATTATGCTACCAATGGCTACTATGGATAATAAACCTTTCCTCTAAGCTCTACCCCTTAGATAATGTTGCAAAGGTCTAAGAAAAATTAAAGCATAAATGTATGTAAACAGATGTGCATCTGGGACAACACGTATGCTTGTAAGATGCGCATATTCCAGGCCTTGTTCTGATTAGTTGTAAGTTTCATTGACACTCTGGGAAAGGAAAAAAAAAAATTCCATTCAATTTTTAAGAATTCTTCTAGATTGTATTTTTCAATACATTATTCGTGATAACCTAGTTTGGTTTATTGTAAGGTAATGCCTCTTAATGAATTATACGCGATGGAGTAAACAACGGCAATGCGTAGAGTACGCAGAGCACGTAGTAAGAATGTAGCATCACCTTCATGATGGCAATTGAGAAAAGGCAACCTCGATATTATACTCTTGATCCCTTTAAACCGACTGTACATACAACACTATTATTATTATTATTATTATTATTATTATTTATATTATTATTTTTATTTATATTATTATTTTTATTATTATTATTATTATTATTATTATTATTATTATTAAAGTGTGGTATAGTTGAATGGAAAACATGAATGAACCATTGAAATATCTTCAATTGTTTCATATTTAAAATAAGTCATATTAATATATTAAATATTACTGTGTTTAGTTTCAATGTTTCTTTGTTACATTTTGACCTTTTGAACTCTGTTCATAATGTAATAAATATTATTTTTTTACTATATTTTGTGCTTGGCCCTGAAGCAATGCAACGATACTGATCATAATTGAAATAAATGTTTAAATAGTTGCAATTTATTACTAAGAATTAACAGTTTATATACTTGGTTTATACTCTTGTTGTTAATGAGTATGCCTCATTGTTTGTTTGAAACTGAAAGTAGAATTCCATCTTCATTCATATAATAATTGCTCTTGTAAAGCAATTTGAAAAGCCTATAAGAATGATACTTTATGAGTACTACAAGGAACAACTTTATAAATAGTAATAGAATAAATAATAATAATGATACAGTGTATATTAGTCTTATATAACTGATACTTACAGCTACAACAGTACAAGGAACACCTTATAAACAATAATACAATAAATAATAACAATGGTACAGTATAATGTTAGTCTTATATAACTGTTAAGTACATGATACTTATAGCTAACTACAAGGAATAAATAATAATAATGGTACAGTATATTAGTCTTATATAACTTTTAAGTACAACTTTGAAGTACACGGTACTTAAGGCTACTACAGTACAAAGAACACCTTATAAATAATAATACAATAATAATGACACAGTGTACTAGTCTGCTGAACATCTAGGCACGCTTAACATTATTACACTGGTCAATGGTTGTAAATGCTACAACACAAAGCATTATAAACAGTAAAACAACACAATGTACATAAAATAACTTTTTTAAATAAAATAAAATAGAATTAAGAATTAATCTTGTAAATAAGATTGTAAATATAAATTTTTTTACTATTTAAATTCTTATATTTCACTTGCAGGTGCAGAAGAGCTGCTAGGCAGCGACATTGAGTTCAGTGGATTTTTATACAAGCGATCTTCTGAGCGAAAGACAGATAAAATAACGTCAGCCATCCCTAAAAGCTTGAAACTTCCTTTTATACCAAAATGGCAACTACGCTACGTGATATTGTACAAGGACTGGTTGTATTACTTTGCATCGGAAAAGAGTAAACGTCCGAAAGGAGCTTTTTGTTTGAAGGGATATCATCGGTAATGTCTAAGTATCTATTTTGCCCATATATAGTCATGACGTGCCTATATATAGTCATGTTGTGATGTCATCATGACCATATTTAGGCATATCACATTTTTTTGTCAAATCTAATTTGATAGTCTGGACAGGCCCTTAAAAGTATTGTTTTTCTACCTAAAATAGAAACAGAATTTTATTCAATATTAGATTGCTTATTTTTTAAGTAATTACTTTTAATTGAAAATTAGAGCAAGAAAATGGTTTTCTCATGAATTAGTAACATTTTAACACAAGCCATTAAATTTGATTATGTTCATATTAAATAGTCTGTTTCATTGAAAATGGTTGGTCATTACACTAATACACAATGAAAATGAGACTAAACTTACAATAATGAAGCTTAAAGTGTGGAGTTTTTATTTGTGAGAAAAAAAAATCTGGCTTTTAAAAGAATTTTAACCCAGGACCATGGAATTAGAAGGCAAGCCCTATAACTGCCTGCTTTCTGGTTATGGTAAAATATTCAAGATTCAATTTATTGACTTGTATGTATATCATATATATGTATATCAAAATGAAAATTATTAAATAAGTAAAACACGAAATATATACAATACGCAATGTTTAAATTCAGTGTTAAAAGACATGAAGAATCATAGTTCAATGACCAGGGATACTCCCCAGGGAGCACAGAAAGTTGCACAATGTGCAGGTCTGCCAACTCCGTATCCAGGGACCGGAAAATAATGATGTCAGCGTCTTGTATAATCTGCGGATTGTGAAAGGCTCTATATAAATTCTGGTTATAAAAAAAAAAAATTAAATTTATTGTATTTTGTATTTATCCTATCCTATATTATGTAACAAAATTATAAAATATAAAATATGTATATATATTTCTCTTACTTATAGTGTGATGAGAGCTGAGGAGGCAGCGACGACAGACCAGCGATATGCATTCAAGATAATGGGACCAAACCACAACATGAGGACGTATTTCTTTGGAGCAGCATCAGAACGTGAGATGACAGTAAGTCCAATATCTGAAAAATGTAATACATCATTTAAATGTATGTATACATTTAAACATATGTTTAAAAACAAATACTCAATCTTATACATTGGAATGTACAAATACAAATTTTAATGTATGAAAGTCATTAAACTTAAAATTATTGGAAAAAACAGAGTCTGTAATAATTAGATTCCCTTCCAATCTCCAATCCCAAAACCTGTTTCTTTTTACTCACAACAACAATCGCGTATATAATCTCAAGTTTATTCGTTGTTCATTCGTTCATCGTCCAAAATCAGAGTGTTAATGGTTGATTAATTGTTGTATCACGGGTTTGAACTTGTGCTGAATTAGTTCGCTAGTGTCTTACTGTATGCTAGGTTAAAACTACTCTTTGTATATTTTGAACAAAAAAATGATGTAATGACTGTAAGCTATCCAGCAGAAGCTGAGTAAAAGTAATTTTAAGTTCTAAGGTCACAGTAAACAGAATATGATCAGTGGCATATCTAGGTGTGTACAGAGGCTGAACCTCCTTCCCCCCTCCCCCCACTTAAAAAAGCTCCCCCACCCCATTTGTAATTTTCAAAGCAGAAACATTACACTAAGGATTTAAAAATCACCTAGCACACCTCACTTAATCATCAATCAACCACTTTACTTTTGCACCCCATACCCCAATCCCATTTCAGAAATTCTAAATGCACCACTGAATAGATAAAGTTATTGAACAGTTCAATAAATTGTTCTATTAAATTTTACTTTTCAGTTTGTTGAACCTAAAAGTGCCATACCATCACCATGTATATTTTTAAAATTTTCTAAAGACTTTCTTTTTAACACATGAATGATTATGTAATCCTTGTTACTGTCGCATAGTAATAGCAAATCCAGATTAGATCCTATTCTAGGATGACTTAGCATTTCTTTTATAGGGAGGTTTACAGACAATGCAACCCTACAGTAGATTGAATTCACTCATTCATGACTGTCCTGCAATCTCTGCACAATGTATTCTATATTTAGGCAAAACCTCATCCTAGAAAAATGCACATGTTTGTGTATGTTTTTACACTGTCGTTTGTGGGACCTTGGCAACAATCTCCAAGGGGCGGGACTGAGCAAAAAGATCCATAATAGAATCTTACTAATATGGGTGGGGTGTACGTTTACTGTATGCACGTAATGTGTATTATGTACATTATTTGAGTTGGGAGGGTGAGGGATGTTTATGATTTATTTAAACTCTAAATTGTATTTTCTAAAGTTAAGTTCTTTCATTTGTTTAGCTTTAAGTTGTTGTTTTCCTCTTTGTTCATTAGTTTAAGTTTGACTGCGCCACTTTCTTGTGTGCTGCCACTGTTGTAAAAGTGTAATGTCAAATAAAATATTATTATGGTCTCTGCTAAGCCTTCAATGTACTACTGTATTGAAAAAATAGGTTCCCAGCGGAAGCGTGTGTCTACTGCTTTTACATGTTTTTTTATTGGCTACTGTTGTGACTTTGTTGTGACAGGTCTTACTGTATGTAGCTTTCTATGTTGTTGTCAATTCAATTGACAACTTACTGTAAGACAGGTCTTTTATCGAGTTGCTTTTCATTTTCATCTTTAGCTCATGACTCCCAGATCATTCTTCCATACTGGATTACTTGATCTCACAGGGTTAACTGCTAGACGACAACATTGTGTCTACTGCACCCCGAGGGGGCAGTAGACACAAAAATCACCAAGCTGTAAAGAAAAAATAACTTTTGAAAACATAGGGAAATAGGATTGAAGAAATGAGAAAAAAAAATCTAAACAAAAACAATGACTTCTTTCACTATAGTGGGAAAAGCAAATTACCATTGAATAATTTTGTTTTAAATGAATTTTTTCATATTTTCAATCTTTGTTTAAAAATATGTTTATTCATCTGTCTCAGTAGCAAAAATGTGATGCCACCTAAAAATGATTTGCTATTTGTTTTTAGTTATGGATGGCACACATCAGAGTTACAATGGAGAAGGCATTACACGGCTCGGCCAAGAACAGGTAATTCAACAGAATAAGTTTTGGTATTAAAGATCACAATTTTATTATCAAAGCTTGTGAATGAAATGCACTTAATGGACACTTAGGGCCTGGTTCTCCTGAGCAAAAAAACATGTGTTTTTAAATAGTTATGAAAAAACATGTGTTTTTCCCCGGTAGAAACGGGCCACAAAACAAAAACACGGTTAGGAATGCGTTCTAAAAATGCGTGTTTTTACACGCATTCGTTATAGGGTTCGCGTTCAGAAAACGTGTGTTTTGTGGTACACTTTTCAGCTGCAACACAATACCGTGTTATTCATGACCCGTCGGTGACCCAAATTGACCTCTTTGTACAGCTTTGTTTTGTAATGCTAATAACCCAAACAGAAGACTTACTTCCAGTGGGGTCCTTCTGGTGGTGAAGTGGGCAGTATACCGGGAGACAATCCCCTAGAGTGTACTGCTTTCTGTAACGTGCATATGGCCATATTGCACATGGCCCAATGATTCAAATATCTCATCCGAAAGATGGTGCGCTATCGTAACATTTCAGCCCCGGTCTCCAGCTGAAACATAAGCAGGAGAGCTGTGCAAGGAATTGAACCGGGGACCAACGGATCTCCATGGTTCAGCGCACACACAGTGGCTACCATCAGTTTTGACGACTGAGAAAAGCTCCCCAGTGTTCTACCGGTAGAAGTTTATGGCACCCTGTGGAATGCAAATGTGATTCCTTTGCGCATCATTTTAATACTTCTCTATTAAATTTAAATTCACACATTTTTCACACAATTTCAGATCATTACAGCTACTGGATGATATAAAACGAAAGAATGAACGAGTGTTTTCACGTGTTAATGAGCTGGATGAGCGTGGTATTGTCCGAAGCGATTCTGTCTCTAGCGGCAGCAGTTATCAGGACGAGATATACGAGGATATTGAGAAACCTTTGCCATTGTACGATGATACCGAATCATGTGTAGACTTTCATCCTGCTGACATTGGCGACCGGCCGTTACCTCAACCACCGGCAGAATGGCAGAGTCATGATTCCGGAACACCAAGAAAGCCAGGTAAAACTACCAAATGTATAGGTATATTAAAAGAGAATTTATTAATAATAGGTTGTTTATTTTGGGAACACCCAAATATTTTTTCATATTTTTATCATATATGGGTGTCTAAATGTATTTACATATATGTAATCAGTTAAAAAAGACGATGAGATGACAACGGCTTTTGTCAGTGGTGGATTGAGGAATTCGTAATAGAGGGGGTTTTGGGAGGGACTTTTACCTATAGAGGGTCCACCCACCTTAGCCCCACCATGGTAGGGGATGAGAAAAGAAAATTATGATTATGGCACGTGTAGATGGCCACAAATGGCACACTCAGACTTCAATTTGTCTTATAATATTATTTTTTTCTCCATTTTTTTTTTATAGTTTTGGAAAAAATTTAGGGGGCCCCGGGTTGGCTCGCACCCCCCCCCCTCCCTTTGAATCTGCCACTGTTTATATACATATGTAAATTAATTCAGTCCCAAGTTCTTCATTCTTTGTTGGATTTCTCTTTCTTTACTTTTCAATTGAAGATAATATCTCCTGTTAAATAATATAATAAATGATCTAAACGTATTACAACTAAATTTTACATGTTACGTTCATTTCCTTTGTTTTTTCATCTTTGCCAAAGTTAAGTAAGTATCGTTGATATTTGTCTTTCTCTCCAATTAAAGGAAACGTCCAGTAAAATAATCAACTAAATTTTATCTCCTTTTTGATTCCCTTTTTTTAAAAAAATTAAGCGAGTACTGTTGATATTTACCACACGTTGTTTTTTTACCTCTTGTAAATATCTTGCTTGCATGATGTGTAGTCCAGTTACCTTATAAAGCAATGAGGCAACCCCCTCTTCCAGTAAGACCCAAGCCTGATAGGACAAGCTTACCCAAAGGTAACAGTGTTCATTACGTATCTCTGAGTGGTAGACTTTCGGCTAACATGCTTCATAAAAACAAGCTTTATAGAGGGTAGAATTGCACATTTAAGTATTCATAGTAGAATTAATTTTCTTTTATGTAATTGTAATAATAATTAACATTAAACTCCGTCTATACAATGTGACAAATTTGTGTGATGTGCCCATATATGGGTATGATGATGTCATATTATACCCAAATTTGGGCATATCACTTTTATTTTTCACATAAAAATTGATAGTGAGGATAAAGGACTATAATTTAACCTGAAGGATGTTTTACTTCCTCCTCCTCTTTCATTTTTTGAGCTTTTATATACATTTGTTACTTTCAAAATCAAGTGTACTTCTTTCAGTATCATTAATCATAAAATTGTTCTTGGTATGAATTATGTTTAGCTTTTTCCAAGAATAATTCCATGGGTTTCTACTTCTTCTATTGCAAAGGTTGAATTCCAATTTTGGTTGATACTTTTATTCATTTAATTATTCTGATTTGCAATTATCATTTTCAGAGTTTGCATTCAGTGACACCAACAAAGATAACAAATAATAATTTAAATAATGGTTTTGTCTATAAATTATCAAACAATGTTTTGTATCATTTCATTAATAAAAGTCATTAATAAACATTTTGAAAAATATTTTCTATGGATGACCAATTATTTTTTGTAGAAGCTAGTAAGAAACAATAAATCATAATACTAAAGTAATAATAAACTATATTAAAAGATATTTCAAAGTTAGGCTATTAATCTAGTCTGCTAATTCTATTCATGACAGATGAGTAAATTAAATAGCATTGTTTTTATTATTGATTAAATTATCATTAAAAATTGAAATTTTACCAGTCTTCATATTTAAATAGAAAAATATTCTTTTGGGTAAAACCAGTATGTTTACATTTTTATTGTAAAACATTTTGCAAATTATCAGTTGGTATCGTCAAACTTTATCCTTTAGTTAAGAATGTTTTTTTTTCTGGATACCCAATCAATGTTACATTGTTTTTCAAGATAACAAACACTTCAATTTCATACAAAACAAAATTAAATGGTATTTATAATTATATAGTAATGATGAAGAATGTAAAATTTTGTTTAAATAGTGTTGTTTTACTGTCTGTTTATTAAATTCTCAATAAAAAAAATAATCATAATATAAAATTTAAATATATAATTAAAAATCTTGGATGTTCTCAAAATTAGCCTATTATTCGACATGCTTATATTTGTGTTGTGTCGTTATTTCTGTACTTCAGTGTCACAAATGTTAAGAGATTATGTAAACACAGTTAAGCACTGTAGCTGAAACTCTCTTTAAATGCTTGCGCTATGGAGTTTTTAGGGGTTTTACCAGAAACCACAACAGAAACTTGTCTAGGTAATTAGTTAATTACTTAACTCTCGAATCTTGGTGTATTGGTGAAATTAATAACTAATGGAGGATTCACAGGAATGAAGTTTCTATGGAATACTACTGTAATTGACACTTATTTGCATTTATAATTCTAGCAAAATATCACTTTGTTTTTTCAAACAAGATTTCTCCCGTGGAAGATCCGACACAATCACCCCGTATGTCAATAGCTCCCTCAATTCAGAAGAACCCTTGAAACGATTTCGCTCAAAGCGAGGAATGGTATTTTTCTCACCCCGGCTAAAGAGACATATTCCCCCCGCCCCACAGAGTGAGTCAAGCACGAAAAGCATGTTGAATGCAGAACGAAAAAAAAAATGTGATGTTTGCATTCTGTTCACTCATTGCCATGCTTCATTTATTTGGTTTTTGCGTTCACATTCGAAAATGTGATCACTGAGCATGCTCTGTTTTGGACGATTGTTTTAGAAGTGCTGGAACGGATGCATGTTGCTTTGGGTGTGTAACGTTTGATTAAATAATCAATGAATTTACAAAAGACAATATATTTTGCTCTTTCTTCATGTTTGCATGGCTTTTTAATGCTAGAGTTATATTCGCTCTCATGTAAGCGGTTTTAAAATTTTTTTTAAATTTTTATTTTATTTAAAAACCACAACCAATAACAGGATATATGAAACAGATGCAGTGATGCATGTTGCTGATAAGTAAAAGCGTTTGTCCAATATTGAATAATTTTTTTAAACTACAAATTTATTATACATTAATAAATAAAATAGATTTATAATTGATATTTCCAAAAATTTCCAATTTTAAAATATAATTCATGACATTCTTGAGAAGGTGGCAAAAAATAGTGAAGAGAAAATATGCCAGTGTGATTTCAGAATATATATTTAAATAACATGTTACAGTAGAGAGGTATATTTGTTTATTCATCTTAAATTACTTCTTATTCATTCTAACAATTCTAACATTTTAATCTCCTACTATATTCTATTTCCTTAACAATATTTATAAAAAGTATATAATACTTATGTTTTACTTTACTGCAGTACAGTATATAATTATGTAAATTACTCAGTAAAATAAATATTTATACAATGTTTTTGTACTGTGTAGTATTGACTTCTATGTTCACCATCACTTATTTTCTTGCTTACCAATCTCAAAGCCATTGATGTATATGGGGGTGTGCAGGGATGTGCGGGGGTGCACGCCCCCACCCCCAAAAAGATACTTGCGCCATTCCCCAGTCGCCCTAAAAATCATGCTCTAGTAGTTAAATATTATCTTAAATCACCTTATTTTGCGAGCTAACATCCCATCACCTAATCATCGAGCCTCACACTTCACCTTAACACCCCTCACCAGTCCACGTCACTGTCAAAGCCTACCATTCTTGATTAGCTTTTCTGACAGCCTTGTGAGAGCAACATTACAGCTAATTCTACATGTCTGTGCAAAGTATATTGAAAGATGATCATTTATGAAATTGAAAATTTATTTTTTGTTAAAATCCCCCCTTCCCCTATTTAATCCATACCTGTAGAAGTTGTTTTACCTCATTAGATAGACACTTTAGCTGAATCTGATTATGCAAGTGCAGGTTCAATGGAGGAGGAGGAAAAATTCTAAAAATAGGGAGAATAAGAACACAAGGTCTTTTCATATTATATTTAATATTTATATAACCTGGCAGTTCGAATTTCCCCACAATTGCTGGCGAAAGTGCCTTTCATTACTGAGTCACCTGACCCAGCAATGGATTATACACTTACATTTATAGAATAGGCCTATTCTTAAAACAATTTATGAAGCTTGTTGCAAGGAGAATAAATTGCTGGAGTAAAGCCATAGCCCAAAGCAACTATTTGCTGATGGAACGTTTGAGGAAATTCGAACCCTGTTGTATCCTAAATGTGGGAACAGACCAGAATCCTATATTCCTAATCTGCTGCCCATAATTGTATACAATGCATCCTCCAATTTGAGACCCCTCTAATTCAAGATCACTTTTCCGAAGAACCAAATAACAATCATCAATCTATTAACACAAAGCTAACCTTCTAAATGTAAACCAAACCCCAAGACCACCCCATAATTCAGTTCCCAAAGTGGTCTTAAATTGGAGGGCGCATTGTACTTTCATTATGTTTTCAACTAACATCATCCCCTATTTTTTTTAGTCCCTTTGAGAAACAGTTCATCATCGTCACATAGAGTTCCCCCTTTTGGATTCAGACTTCCATGTGAGTTTTTGGACTTTTCTACTATGCTAAAATTTCATTGTTTAACACTCTGACTGCCAGGGGTTTGATAAAACAGTATCTGGCACCACCAGACTTTTTAGAAAATTTTAAAACTTTTCTGAAGCTCGTTGAGAGTGCGTATATGATCAGATTGAAATGTAGTGAATACTACATGAACTACTCATTTTAACTTTACAATGGTACCAAACACTTTATTTTAATCACAATCTGTGACCCGTAAAATGAAAACGACTCACTTTTGAAGATTTTTACGCAATTTCGCACAACGAAGCTAAGATAATCGCGATTTCGTGAAAGTAATTTCAATACCGCTCTACGCTAACGTAAACAAACCAATAGTGAAATACATACGGTCCAGACTGAATGTAGTGTTCAAATTGTTGCTACATGTCGGTAATTACCCCATCTCTCTGATTCCGTAAAAAAACCTGAAACATGGAGATCTCTCCGTGTTTGGCAGGCAGAGTGTTAAGGTTATTAGAATTTTTTGTTTTCCAGCCCCATAAACAAAAGCATTGATGGTGATACTGAACATTTCATACATCATAGCAGATAATTAACTATGAGATACATTTGATTGCACCTTGTTAATACACTGAATAACTAAGTGACTGCATGTTATAACAGAGATTTATCGATCACGTAATGATTCCTGTTTAATTCTTTTTTCTTTGTGATTTTAAAACTAATATAGAATGAACGTTACTCTGAATAAAGAGAGGGAGACCATGATTCTACGTGTCGACCTTTTGGGTCATCGAAACTTTTAATCATGGCCGCCCGTTCTTTATTTGGAGGAACGTTCTATGTTAATTAAACATTATCATTGCATCTGTTGGTTAAAACTAACAGGATTTCCTCATTTTGTAGGTTATTGGTTATTTTGTTCTGTCAACTAATTTCATTCCACAGTTTATTTTAGTAGTATATTAACATTATTGTTTTAAAATTTTTTTAAATTGTGTCCTAATAATGTAAATTCAAAGGGTGCAATGATTTGATTTGGTTTGTATGGCTTAGTGGTTAAGGTGCTTGCCTTCTAATCCCAGAGTCCTGTGTTCAATTCCTGTGATGACAGGATTTTTTCTTATGACTAATAAAAACTCCAAACCTCATACAGAGACTTGGTTTTTAAAGCTTAGTTCCAACCTTCAATTGACCGGTTACTTTGCTGTTGGAATGCAAATGAAATGAAAATAAATAAGTGTAATAATTGAATTCTATTGTAATTTTTTAGCTCTTGATAGTGATGATAATGATGATGAGGAAGATGACAATGTTCCAGATTATCTGTTGCCCTCCTCATCACCCCATCCACCGCATCGAGGAAATTCAGCACAAGTAACATCAAGGGTAGTGCCACAGAGACCAGAACCTCCACGGCGGAAGAGTGCTGATGACGAGAACTCAATATCTGTCCATGGACTGCGGTAAGTATTCCACAATCATGCATAGGCCTACATCTTTTCTTGTCATCTTGGTATTGAGATAAAAAAGCTCATTGGAATAAATTTCTTTGTTTGATCTTAATCTCATTTTCTGAAATTTTTGGAATCAAAAATAATAGTCATACTGTCAGTGAAGGCACTTAAAGAATTTTTTTTTTCAGTCATTCCCTGGAAAATTTTACAAAATGTTTTATAAAGTACAGTAAATTAGCTTTTATAAGAAATCATAAAGTTTACATCCAACGTACAGTACATTCAAACACCTTGAGGTCTGCAAAGGTCCGCAACAATGCTATATCTGCTAATTATAAATTGTAACCCGCAACCTTAATGCTACCTTTGTTAATGTTAATTAATGGTTCTGTGTTTTTAATCTCAAATTTGTTTTGCTTGAAGGCGAAGACCGGATGGGAACAGTTTCCGTGTCAAGCACGAGGAAACGGTAAATACACTTTCCTCGACTTTCCGTTCCTTTTTTTCCTTGTGGGTGCATGTAACACTTTCCTCGACTAGAAGCTGATTCATGGTTCACACGAGACAAAATGTTACACGGGACGCACGCTTACAGATCCTAAATATCATGGGAATTTTACAGGCCTCTGCGATGTCTTATTCTTACATGGATATTACAGGGGACAATGCTAATCCTACACCGATTCACATTCACACAGATTTTCTAGCACAGGGCAAATGTAACATTTTTTCTTGTGTGAATATGGTTTTAGGCATATTTTGTTAATACATTTTTTTTAATAATAATGAATGGGTTTAACAATCTTGCAATTAATTATATGTATTTTTGTCTCTAGCAACCATTAACCAAGAAGCCACTTCCCCCACCAAAAAAACCTCAGATATTACCAAAACCAGTCATTAATAAAGTATCATACAATAAGGTGAGAATATTATCATAGATTTTTCATCAGTTCAAAATCAAAAGGGTCCTGGGTTCAAATCCTGATAGGGACAGTACAGTTTTCCTAAAAAAACAATTTATCATCTGTGAAGACTATCAGATTTTATTTGGCGTAAATCTGACATGCCTAAATATAGTCATGATGACATCACATCATGAACATATATAGGCACATCATGACAATATATGGTCATACAACAGTTTTTGATAGTGTTATGTTGATAGTGTAGACTTTATATATCTTCAATAGAGATTTTTATCTATACCAAGTTTGATAATTGATAAACAAAATAGTTTGCACTATAAGTAACAATGATGATGACGAAGTCAGTGGTGGTGGTGGTGGTGGTGGTGATGACGATGACGACAACGGTAATAAAAATGACGATGATGGCTCTGGCTGCCCAACATTGACAGTGATGAAAAAATAATGTATCAACTAACTCATGACCATTTGATAAATAGTGATTATTGTTTTTATTAATTAACAATTTAATTATTTGATTAACTAATCAGTTAATTTTTGGTTTTTTTTATTGACAGGTTGGAGCCATTAAGGATTTATTACCAGACTCGGCTATATTTGAATCCAGTGACAAAGTCAAGGCAGAGGAGTATGTCAAATTCACTTTTGATGTGTTGAGCACAAACAAATAATTTTTTATATGCAACATTTATTATAATGATTTGTGGCTAACACATAGAGCTATTAAACAACTTGAGTGCTGACAAGGCGATGAAGCAATGCAGAGTTATGTATGTGTACCATCCAAGATGGCCACCATAGAAACGTGCCACCTTCAGGCTTGGTATATTTATTATAACCATAAATAAGCCATCTGACTAACTATTATTTCAGTAATCATTATTATTATTAATGGTAACAAATTATTAAACTATCGTAGACAAAAAGAGGCCATGTGGAGTATCTGATTTAAAAATAAAGTACCAAGGAATGAAAATTAAAATTGCATACATTACACTCATACGGGTAACTTGGTTGTACTCAACATTCATGTGTAAATTGAGGATGCTATTGACAACAATGATGCTTAGGCAAATTTTGATTGGCTGCAGTTAAGACAGCCAGCTTGGATGGTACACACACACACACACATAGGTCTGCGTAATTCGAACATCGAATACATTGCAGTTAGCATTCTAGTATTCTTATTATAACTATGCGCTAACATGAATAGCTCGGTGGTTAAGATGCTTGCCTTCCAATCCTTGGGTCCTGGGTTCAATTCCTATGACAGAATTTTTTTTTTCATGACATGTACATGTGTAGGCCTATAATGTTGATTGAGAAGTGCAATGCTATTTCGATGGTCTTCAGCAATATAACACATTAGGTAGGGCAAACATCATTCATATTATTATTTCTCCTGACAAAAAACGTCATCGGAATAGTATTGCAGTACCCTCTGTTACTGGGGTATCGGATTCATCACAAACCACCAAGTGCAAGCTCAGTGGTTGAGTGGTTAAGACACCATGCTAGTTATCTGGAGGTCGTGGGTTCAATTCCCACCCAAATCACTTGCGAGATTTTTTTCTCAAGTATTTGGGAATGTACTGAGCATTCAGTACGATAACACGTCAGGTAGGGCAAACATCATTCATATTAAGATATTAATTAATAATTAAAATGACTTTAATTAGTAATTCATTGTGTTATCAGGAGGGATATCACAATTAATTTAACATCATTGAAGATTTACTCAAGAAATTTTCATCACTCATAATGGTAACAATTATTATAAATATTTTGTAGGATGCTGAAAAAACCCAAGGTTGAAGGAATGTATCTTGTAAGAAACAGTGCTCAAGCTGGTCAGAAGGTATTTATCCTTTTGTATATCTTTTTAGCTTCTCTTCTTTCTGAATATTTACTTTTGTTACTATATCGTTCTATCCAGCAGCTTAATCGTCGACCATCTTCTGTGTTCCAACTTTCCTGCCACACGCCCTCTTCGCCTTTCCGTAGCTATATTCATCCATTCATTTTTTTTATGGTACCGAAAGTCCCCTGTCTTTCTCTTTTGTTCCTACGCTCTATAATGCCTTCAATGCAGTGATGACGTCTAGGAGAATTAACATGGGCAGGGGCGGATTGGGGGCACAAAGGTTAAGATGGGGGCTCAATGATAAATGAGGGGAATTAGCTGGTAAAATAAAATATGAGGTGAATTTTAATTATTTGCACAGCCAATTTTCCAATGCGGCCAATGGGGGGGGGGGGGGGGGTTGCCAAGCTATATTTAGAGGGGGAAGGATTTATTTGGGGAGGAGGGCATGTCCTGGTACACATTTGCTGCTTCAGCTCCTGATAACTTTAGCTTTCTGTAATGTATAATATTTGTAATTTTTTTTTTTATTATTTTGATGTTTTTCGTCAGAAAATTCCATAGGATAGATATAGTTCTTTACCATCCTTAAATTAATGATATCTGTTTTCCCTGCAGGTACTAATGGTTTATCATGGAAACGAAAAATGTAAACATTATAAAGTATTTGGAGATGGGGTAAGTATACAGAGATGTAATACTTAAACTTATACTTTCATTTATATTTTGGGCTTAGTGGTCTCTTCAATAATAATAATAGTGTAGTTTTATATACAGTAGTGCACATATCCATCTAATGTAAGATGCTCAGGGCGCTTGATATGTGGACTAGGAACTCGATCAATGACTTTCTTCACTCCTAAGGGTCCCTTCGTGTCTGTGCTACCAGGTAACCCGGTACCAGCAACTCTCGTCGTCCACTAAAGGGGCTGTCTTTTCCGGTACACCGGGGTATCCCCCTACTCATCTCAAAGGATGTACTGGGTTCTTTATAGTGCATACGAGCCATTGTATACACTAGGACTACGGTTCATAGTCGTTATCCGAGAATACTTGTTCCACCACCAGAACCATAGGCGAGTGTGCCGTTCGAACCAGTGCCAAAATTTTGGCTATAGCTTGCGGCGCCCCTGCTAACCGCTCGGCCATTCAACTCATTCGATACGACTGCCCCTGGAACATTTGTATTATGTAGCCATTTGGTGGTGGTTTTGGTGATAGGTTTTACTGTATGCTGTGTGCAATTATAGCAGTTTGCACACTGTAAAAAAAAAATTCATTTTCAAATTATGCAAATTAACTTAATTGCAACCAATATGTACAATGGGAAATGCTATTTCTCTATGTCCAATAATACATACGTACTTGTAAAGTACCATTTATCTATAATAACTACTCTGATGTGGATTGGCTCTTTAACAAAAAATACAAATAAACCAAGCTAGTATATAGTGTGTTCATTTTTGTTACTTGGTATGCAATAGGGTACCTAATCTCTTTTCTTTTCTGCAGGTTAGTTGCTGTGTTAACCTACCGTACATATTTAGTAGAATATTCTTTTGCTCTTTATACTTTATATTTTGGTAGAACTGTGTCTGCTTTAAATGTCTAGATTTCATCCTATTCCATTTCGACAGATTGATAATTTCTCACTTGACAAGTCGCCAGTTTTTAATAACATGAATGACCTATTAGAACACTATTCATCGCAAAGTTTGCCCAATACAGAGCGTGTGCTTACTAAACCCTTCCATGATTGACTGCTGCCCTCTGCTGGTGGTTATTAGGGTAGGTATGGCTGCTGTTATAGCCATGCATGATGATAGTTGGCCGGTGGCGTATCTAGGAGCCCTGAAATTGGGAATGATGGTGGTGCGCGAAGGCCAAGTGAAAGCCTCAATAGTGAGCTTTCGATTTGCACGACGACACGACGCTAGAACGGAATCACTTATGAGTGACTGTCCTTCCGGGCGTGCTACGTTCTCTGTATACGTAGATTTGGCCAAATTGCAACCTAGAATCCATGCGACAAGGAGAACATATCATTCTCACATGTGCAGATGACTTTCAGTGATGTCTTTACATCCTACTGTCGTCGTGCAATCGAAAGGTCCCTACTGATTAAATGAGGGATGCTAGCTCGCAATATAAGGTTAACTACTTGAGCATGATTTTCTTTCTTCAAATATTTTCAATGAGGGGTACTGACGGGAATGCTTTTTTTTTTGTGTGCCCCTCCCCCATCCTCACACGTGCCCTTCCCCTAGATACGCCACTTTAATTTGCCAATGCTTATGGTTAAATTTGCATATACTTTTAAATGTTCTCTATAATTTTCATTCGACATGAGACATTGTATATTCATATTGTTTTGTTTTTTTTTATTTTAGTAGATAGCCGTAATTCCTAACATTATTTATTAATTTTAAAAAAAGAAACTGTTTTTTGCTTAACATAGTTATCTTTAACATAATATTAACATTATTATTGTAATCATCATCATTACATGATAATCTTCATCAACTCATCATTATAATTATTGTAGTGATGTTTTGTGCTACCTGACATATTATCATACTGAATACTCATTCCTAAATACTTTTTTAAAAAATTTGTGATTCGAGTGGGAATTGAACCCACGACCACCAGATAACTAGACTGGCGCCATAACCGCTAGGCTAGCTAACTGCAAATGCTATTAGGATGTGAGTTTGTGTCAAGAAAAATGTCATAGGAGTGATGTTTTTGCCGTAACTGAAGTTTTATCATACCGAATACTCTGTATGTTCCCAAATACTTGCAGACAAAATTTGCAATACTTTATAAAAAAAAATTTGTGATTCGAGTGGGAATTGAACCCACGTCCTCCAGATAACTAGCCTAGCGACATAACCAGTAGACTACTGAGCTTGCGTCCGAATGATATTTCCTGATGCAAATTCATATCCTAAAATTATAATTATTGTCATTGTCTTCATTTAATTTTAATCGTCATCACCATCTTATTTTATCCTATTTACAGTTATCATCTGAACCTTTTAAATAAGCAAATAAACATACAGTTTAATAATCATCATATGTTGCCCTCATTATCATTAATTTTTAGTCATGCATGAAAAGTACAAATGTTTAACAAATAGTGAAAAAATTTATCAACTTAATGTTTAGCAAAGCAAACTATATCAAAACTAATGTCATAATTTTCAAATATATAAGTATATTTTAAATCTGTTTATTTCTTTTTATTCATTAAGTTAAGTATCTATAACAATTGTAGTCATTATTGTAAGTCTATCAAGCAGTGGTGTAACAACCAATCAAGGGGCTCGGGGTGTGAAAATAATGCCTAGGGGTATGGGTAGTATATGGGTAGGGGTATAGGTAATTCCAATTTACAAAAATATAAATAATTAGGCATTTTTAGAAAATTGTCTGACTATTATCAATCAGTCATTTTATTTAAGGCACATTCCAAAAGTTGAAAAAAATAGACCATCAGTAAAAATGTATTGACACAATTTTACATTGTCCTTTACCTAATTGTAGGCCTTTGTGACTTTTTTAAAAATTATAAAAATGATATGTGATTCTATAAAGAGTAGGTATTTCTTTGTCATCTAATATCCTGGATATACCAAATACATTGCTAAGATGGTCAAGTAGCCAAATTGATTAAATACAGGTCATCCTCTAATTAAAGACCACCTCCAATTAAAAGCTACTTTTCTGTGCTCCCAAATGAACAAATGTCTTTTACCTTTATTCTAATGTGAGACCAAACCTGCTAACATGACTATGTAGACATCAGTCCCAAAATTGGTCTTTAATTGGAGGGAGATCTGTATTTCAATAAAGTGTCACAATTTAGAGAAAACAAATTATGTTGCTATGAAATAAAGAGGTACTATATGGTATAGGCCTATGTAATATATGAAGTACATTTGCATCTTTATTTTTCTACAAATGTTAATTAAACTTAATTCTATTTTTTGTTATTGTTTTGCAGACTTTTTCTCTAGATGGCAGGCTTTTGTTGCCCACTATGGGAGAGCTTCTTGAACATTTTCACAGTCACTTCCTCCCAACATCTGAGAACTCTGTATTGATAGTACCATATCCAGGCCCTGTCTAATTAGCATACTCATAAATATTCATAAGCCCTTTGTATGATTATAGTAGTCATGCCACTAATGAGTATTGGGTTAGAGGAAATGATGTAATTATTGGTTTTTATGAATATTCCACAGACCATGTATAATTAGCAGTTTTACTATGAATAATCAAAAGTCACTGCTTAATTATTGGACGTAGTACTTATTAATATTCAAAAGACTGCTTAATTATTGGACATAGTACATTGAATATTCAAAAGACACTGCTTAATCATTGGACATAGTACTTTGAATATCCAAAGACACTGCTTAATTATTGGACATAGTGTTTATGAATATGCATAAGATACTGCTTTATTATTGGACATATTGCTTATGAATATTCAAAAGATACTGCTTAATCATTGAATGTAGCACTTGTGAATATTCAAAAGACTCTGCATAATTACTGGTCATACTTCTTGTGACTAATGGATATTCAAATAGTCTCTTAAGATTTATTCGCATATCTGTATTCAAAGATATGGTAAAGTGGCATGCGTTGCCATTAGGGAGAGAGTTGCTGTCACATGGGATACCTGCAATAGCATACAACTGACAAGCTCAGTGCTACACCACAAGCTGCATTCACATTTTATTGGTCAGGTTCACACTAGAGCCCTAGTATCCGGATCTAACCGTTAGCACTAATATGAGAACGGCCGATTGGTTAGTGCTAAGCATTACCAGGATCCAGATACACTAACGGTTACCAAGCGCTATCGGCTAGCAAGTTTCTATTATTAACCAATCACATGTATACATTTCCAGTTTCCTATTGGCCATTGATCCTACCATCATCTTTTTTGATATCTGGATCAAAGATATTCTTGTATGAATGCAAGGGTGTGCACGTTTGTTGTTTATCCGGATCCTGCTAACCGTCAGCTGGCCTGCATGAACATAGCCATTATTTATTACAAGATTGTAAACTGTCTAATGCCCTGTTAAGACTATCAAATTTTATTTGACAAAAATCTGTTCCATTCTCATGTGATGTCCATGACCATATATAGGCATGATGTGCCTATATATGGTCATGATGTGATGTCATCATGACCATATTTAGACATGTAACATGTTTTTTTCAAGTAAAATTTAATAGTTGGGACAGAGTTTAATAATCTTCATTTTATGCTGCATCACCTCTTTGTGCTTAGCAATTGAATTGAGATAATGTAACCGTGTTACATAGGCCTATTAGTAGCGCCGAGCGCTTTTTTGATTGAACGAAACAATTCAAATTAGGCTACTATATAATATATTCTAAATGACTGATGTCACTCCATCTTGTGACTCTTGCTATCTGATCATGTGCCTCTTGCCAATTGATCATGTGACTTGCTAATTGATCTTGTGACACTTGCCAATTGATCATGTTGATCATGTGACTTTTGCCAATTGGTCATGTGACTACTTTCATGTGACTATTTTAAATAGACCATGTGACCTTGCCTTTTTAATGCTGTGATTCATGCTTAAAGAGATGTGTTGATTTTATTAAGTATTGAAGTATGTGTTTTTGTTAGCCTTGATAAACTGAGCAAAAGATTTTGGGATTCGATAGTTGTTTTATCATCACAAAAATATAAAAGGGTAAAAGGCAGTAGTTATGACTTATATGTATGTGTGTATGTGAGTGAGGTTATGAGGGTGATGTGTGATTAGGTGATAGTCCAGAAGCTTAGGTTCCCTTAAGCCTGTTTCCCCCAAGGCGAATTTATTCGCGCAAATCGAAAGCGTCAGTTTATGCGCATGTGCATTCAAATTTCTATCACTTCTATCTATTTTTTCAGCAAAATCAGTGGGTTGAACCTTTTCTACTTTTTGCGAAGCGAAAAAATGCGCAACCAATCTGAGCTCAGGAAGCGACCCGACGCTTCTGGTTCTCGCGAATAAATTCGCTTAGTGGAAAAAAAAAAGCTTTATGTCCTTTGCAGGCTTCGAAGATTCATAAAAAATAAGGCACTCCCCCTTTACCATTTTTGACTTAAATGTTATTTTTTTTAAACAAAAATAAATATCCCAATTACTCAAAATCGATTCCCAATGCAAAAATAGATAAAGAAACTTCGCCTCTGGCTTCCCCTATCTTTACCACTGTGCCTTGTTTTGCAGTTGTCGATTGTATTTGTTTGGTAAAAACTATGTTGATGATAATTAATGATTGTAATTTTTACTAAAGGATATATTAACTTATAATGTACTTACTAATGCTGCACTTAAGACTATTAATAACGCGATACAAAAATATTTAGTATGATGTTGATGATGATAAAATCGGGTACAGTATTATAAATTCAACCTGTTATAAATAAGAAATAAATTACAGGACAAAGTTTAATTTGAATCTCTGATTCTAGCGTGCTTACGAAAGAGACTCCCGAAAGCGATAACAAAATTCAGGAACCGATCAATTGTGCTGTGTTAGTGACAATGAATGGTATGATGAGGATGATGGCAATGATGATGACAGTGATTTTAAAAAAAATCATATTTTATAAGTGTTTAGGTTAACAAAAATATTTGATATATTAGCAACACATTACTAAGCCCACTTGAATGGTATTTGTATAATTATGCTTATTAAACCTGTTTTTCTTTACTTTATAACAAAGTACTGCAATACATGGTAATTTATTTAACCTTAGTCTATACTTCAGTATATGTATTACAAGGTTACACCTTCCGTTTTTCATTTTAACATATTGTTATTGTATAACTAATATCGTTTTTAATTTGGTGTTGACACTAATATATTGTCATTATTATAAAAATATTTGTTCGTTTACTATTTTATATGATAGAGTCTATTCAGTTACATTACTAATTATAGTCGGGTCCAAACAATACCCTTGTTTTTGTAGCACCCCAATTAAATAGTATTGTTAATTATTTATACAAGGCAGGATAATCAATTAGTGGATAATTTGTTAACCGTTAATTGAGATGCAATGGAAGAACGACCTCGAGTAGACTACTATCTTATAGAAAATATCTAAAATGACGTAATGTGGCGACCAAGTGGATTGATCGTCGCGCGATTCAATTAAAGGTTCTTGATTCGCCTACTGTTAACCGATAACGGCGTCTGGTGTTTGATTGGTCGAGAGTTAGCTAATTAGATCCAGTTTCTGTAGCAACCACTAAGTATCGACCATTCATATTTTCTCTATGATTATACACAGCCTAAGCAAATTTACGAATCTTCTAAAAAAATTAGGCGCAATTCAGGTGCTACGAAAACACGATCTGTAAACTTGTATATGCCTGAAACTCAATGCTTGTAGAACAAGTACAGTTATCATAATTAAATAATTGAAATAATCAAGAAAAAACGGAATGCATTTTATAGGAAAACAGATGTATGTAATCGAATGTGTATTTGTACAGGCCTAGGGCCTACACGTTCATAATTGTATCATATTTAAATATGTATGTATATATACTGTGGAAGGTACCGGTAACTTCTACATCGTGTGACATTTATTTTTGTACATTTGGTGTCGTCAGGAAATTGTAATATACAAACATGTTAGAATCGGTATCGTGTTTTGATCTTTGATTTACTGTATTTATTTTGCATCACACAAATACACACTTTAAAACATAATTAAATTGAATGTTTCTCTTATTATTTTCTGATTGGTATTATGTCATTCCTTTTGACATATAGTACCGTACTGTTACATCATAGAGAAAATAGAATATTTTCTCTATGGTTACATTAAGCTGTTACGCGTTTCATTGGCTAAATAATGACGTGGAAATACTTCCCTGTGATGTTACCACCTGCTGCGGGGTGGTTCCTTAATAGATATTCTACTGGTTTTATATATGTATATATATACTGTCTCTTATACACATCTAGATGTGTATAAGAGACAGGTATTATAAATTCGACATGGTTGTAAAGTGCAGCAAGATGTTGCCCACATGTCTAAACCCGTTAGGCTCAAGTATCTGGTGTAGGCTTTTTAAATTTGTTTATTGGGCTGTTTAATTCCATTAGAAGTGGCTGTAAGTCTTATAATTCCCAATGCTCCAAAGGAGATGTGTGTCTTCAGCTTTGCCGTACCTCTGGCGCCCCTATAATTGATATGTTTTGGAATTTTTGCTATAGAGCATCACAATATTAGGATGCAACTATTTTAGTTTGCTTTTTTTCCGGAAAGCTGGTGTCATATGATTCCAACAGTGGCGCTGGCTCTCTTTATCCTGAAAGATAGGGTAATTTCTAAATTGACTTGTTATTGTAGGCCTATATAGCGCCCCTTTCGTTCATTTATTACTACCAGTACACCAGTAGCGCCTTCTCGCTTGTATTAACAAACAAATAAAACAAACAAATAATGATTCACGATCCATCAATGTTAACTTAAGCCTGGTTTCCATAAAATCGCTACACTGTCGCTACAGTGTTTTCAGCGCAATTCTTGCACTGCGTAGCAGTCTCCGACGCTATCGGGAAGGCTCCCGATTCGACCGACCAAACATCACCTAAAACGGTCGGCGATAGCGTGTAGCGATTGTATGGAATCTAGGATTTTACCGTCAACCCCAACACATAAAATCAAACCATACGTGAACTGCCTGAGACAAATGGGTTGATTAACGTGATTTTTTTAGGTATTCTCATCCAGATTAAAACCTCCCAAGTTGCTTTTGCATTAAAAACTGCTATATTGAGGAGACAGTGAGACTGAAAGTCTACTGTATGCCAATCATATGAAAAATTGAGGAGACAGTGACACTGGAAGTCTTACAGATGTGGATGGATATAAATACTCGGGGTAGGCCTAAATTTGGAAAAAAAAGTAAGGATAAGAGTGGCGAGTATTTTAGGTGTGAATTACATCAAGGAGGTCAGGTGTGGATCCACCTTGACTATCGCACAGATGAAAAAAAATTAACCTGCGTATCCTGGTGGTAATAGTAACGACAGACCCTCTTTTCTTCTCTTCAAGTCCCCGGAAGCTCCGGCATACGTTTTAGCTTTACACTAGCCGCATTTGATTGAATTTTCACAATTTTAGGTAGATTCACGTTTTCAGTTTTTAAGACCAAATCAAAGAATACACAATTGAAATGAACAAATTAATCAATGATTTCGCCACTAAAAGCTTTGAGTCGCTGGCTGTTTATTTCTTATATTAAAAGCACAAGAGACCAACAACTTAAACGTCTCGTCTAAACCAGGGGCGGACATACTATATAGGCCGGTATATTTGGAAAGTTATAAAAAAAAATAATAATAAAGAGAAAGAAAGAAATAGACCTAATTGATCGCCCAAAACGCCTCAGAGGTTATTTTCGGGCGATCAGAAAACCAAAATTTCGCAGGGGCATGCCGGACCTCCTAGGGTAGTTTTATCTTGATCGGCCCCCACTTTCGTTACACCCCCCGCAGCTTTCGGACATCTCTGGATTCGCCCCTGTGAACGGTGTGCTATCGTACCGTAACACACGGAGAGCAGCGGATAAAATTGAACTGGGAACCAACACCTAAGGAACATACTGGCTAAACTGCTCTTACATAGGCCTAGGCCTATATAATAATATAATTTCAAAAACCGCAAAAAATACAGACAATTATTTAGTGTGAGTATAGATTGATTGGTCGTGTAGGTTGTAGGTCAGCTGTAACTATTGAACTGTGTTGAATAGAGAGAGTAGCATAGTATGCAGGATAAATAATTATAAATGGCCTAATTTTAAAAAGAAATGTTAGGCAGAAATAAAAAGGACAGCGATTTACATACTCCAAATCGTACCTGCAAAAACGTACTTACTATTAACAATGAATATAAATTTGGCAGCAGTAATAAATGTCATTAAAGACGGAACATATTTGTTTCGTTTTGATTAAAAGACAAATAAAATACAAACTTATGTCATGACACCAATTAAATAAATTTAATATAAAATTACTCGACTGGGATAGATTAAAAACAGTAAATAGAAACTTACAAAATTTACAATTCAAAATACTAGCAATGCCAATCTTTTACAATACAATATATTAGTATCAAGCAGTTAAGACAAATAAAATAAAATATAAACATCAATATTATAAAACAATTCAATATATAAAATCAGCAATTGATAAATACATTATTTAAATTGCCCTATTCATTAAACTAATATTAAGTTTAATAATCGTACATTTGGTTTAAAATTATTATAATGACGCATTGCCTCTAAGTCTAGACGTGTGCCCTTCTAGCAAAAGTAGAATAGGTTCCCCCTATGAGGGTTGCTTAGATCAATCCACTCTTCCGTAGCAGGCTTTCCGATTTGGAAATCGAATTATCAGAGACAATTGTTTAGTTAAGAACAAAGTCAATTTGCATAGGCACTTGAGCGAAGGCGATCGCTAACATAGGGCTATATTCATTCACGTCAAGTATTCGATGCATAATAATTCGCCAACCTGCGAAATATCTTTGCCGAGCACTCTTGAAGTTTCCAGTCCTTTTTGAAGGTCACGACTCGTGCGCAAGTGTGTCGATTGTAGATTTCCTGTGATAGAACTCCTTCAGCCCCTTTTCTAATCACCCAACGGATGGCATTACACGGAGAAACATGTAAGTTATTAAATGTTTCAATAATGTAGCAACAGATATGAAAGAACGTGGATGTGGTTTATGGAGTTGGCAAACAGCCCTGCGTGCTAACCTATATATTTGTCAAAATCAAAACACTATTTGAACGTACTGTACATCAAATACTACGGTATTTGCTACGTTACAGTAAGAATTTGACTTGTTGCTTTAGCATACAGACCCGCATATTGAACAGCGGTTAATTCACACAGTGCAATTTGTTTGCACTGAATTGAATAACAATAAAAATGTAACGAGCCGGATAAGATGTTTGCCTTTCATTTCCATGTTCTTTTAATTATGCAGGATTGTTTTACAATGACTAAAACAAATATACCCACAAATTACTCTTAATGAGAGATTCATAATTTCTATCCCCTAGGCCTAAGTGGAGTTTTTTTTTTATTTGCTACTAGTTGCAAAGTGAACAAAAACAATATACGGTACGCAAAACATCGATTCAATTGTAAATTATTTTCTCTTATCTTCGCACATAAAGACTATTTTCTAAAGTATTGATAAGAAAGTGGCCTAAAAGTAATCGACTAACTAACCAGTTTATGTCAGCATTACTTCCCCAGGTTCGTATGACCAGTATATTATGCTCGACGTATCTGTACTAACATTGGTAACGTAAACGTCCTTGAATTTTGAAAGGAAATCTGTCGCAATAAATATGATTGACGAGCCTTGCGTTACATATGCCTATATATTGCATTATATATTGCATTATATATATATATATATATATATATATATATATTATGTAGGCCTATATATATATGTATATTGTCATTTACATAATAGAAATACAATTATTATTTGCTAGCCTACAATTATTTAATATATATGGCCTACTGTATATTCATGAGGTTTATATAGGCCTATATATCAAGGCTACATCAACACAAGAAGTAGGAAATAAAGAATTTAGCAAGGCGGACATAAGGTCAACTAATTTATTTTTACCACTCTTGCGGTCATTCTCAACTTGAAAATGTTCGTATGTGCTGTATTAATATTCTAAGAGTCAAGTTAATTTCATATGCTTAATGCTTATATAAGTTAAAATTGCTATAGGGCCTATATAGCTTTATATATACATACATATATATATATATATATATATATATATATATATAATTTATTTGCTCAAAATCCTTAAGTTGCAAATTACAGAAAGAATAATAAACACTATATATATATATATGTGTGTGTGTGTGTGTGTGTGTGTGTGTGTGTGTGTGTAGGCCTTATTTAATATTTTAACATTTAAATTATTAATCCAAATTTGAATCAATAACTATATTACATAATAATATTTTAATTATTGATTCGAATTTATGTTAGAAGTAGGCCTAGGCTAAATAGGCTTATTAGAATCAAATACAACATTTTATCTTCCTTATTTAATCAACTTCAATTTCAGTACTGTACATTGGAACTTGCAATAAAGTGTATTTGTATTTGAAAAAGATACGAGTGTCACTGGACTGGACAAACAGGTGGCTAGCTCCTTTATTACGCTCCAGTAGTAGACTTGAACTTTACAACGATATATCAAAACGAACACTTATTGACAACAGAAATTCTTATTTATTGAGTCGCCCTGTTTACTTGCCGTAAGATATTCCGTGTAGTTGCGAAAAGTAATATATGAACTCCTTTATTAACTGTAATTGTAAAATATCACTCCGAGAACAATGTCAACATACCATAAATTCTTACTGAGAATTTCTAAAGCTAGGCTTTCTTAAATATACGCCTATTTTTGTATACTCTATGTCTATTTTGCCAAAAATATAATGAATGGGAGAGTAAAAATGTAAGTGTGCGTATACTCCTAATCAAAGACACATGTTAATTCAATGTTCAATTCAATAAAATTCATTTACATCCTTGTCAAATTTAAATATAAAATACAACAATAATTTTAAAAATGGGCTTACTCATTATAATACAAACTATATATTAATCCCTGCCAATAATTTAATCATAAATCAGAGATATAAATAACGTAAAAATAACTGGTGTTTAAAATCCGGATTATTCAAAAAATAATTATGGTTATAAATTATATTTAATACAATTTAATACAAATTGTGTACATTGAGCCGGTCCAAGAATTGAACCTTAAGCCAGATAGACAGGCAATATGGTGCTTAAAATCCGGGTTATGTCCAAAGACGGTATTTTGTAATTGGCCGCGTCTTTATTTGGATTCACACGTTTATGACGTCACCGAGTTATATGACGTTTTCGATAGAATTTAACTATTGCATTGTTAAACATTTTTCTCGTGGTTGTCGTTAATGTTACTATGACGTGGCCCGACTTTTTTTTTTATGGTGTGCCAACATATTTTGGCAATAACATTGCCGCACATTCTTGCTTATCTACATTTTTTGTTCATGATATTGCCGACAACTTTGCTCACGATGTTGTGTCGGTAAATGATGTTCATGGCGTGTCGAAAACGTTGCTCATAATGTTGCCGACATTGCTCATGAAGCCGCCGACATGTTACTGAAAACGTTGCTCATGGCTTGGCATAGAATGTTGTCGAAAATGTTGTTCATGAAGCTGCCGACATGTTACTAGTTGATCATGCCGTGGCATAGAATGTTACTGACAAATTTGTTCCAGATGTTTACGACAACACTGCTCATGAAACTGCCGACATGCAGTTTCATAGGATGTTGCCGATGACATTACCGACAATATTCTCATAACTTTGCTGATAATGTTGCTAACGGCAATTGCAAAAGCAATAAGACTTGCAAAAAAAATTCATAATTGAAAACCAACAAAATTGGATAGGCCTACCTACCAGGTCAATTAAAATTATTTCATCCAAAAATCTGCCTTGCTCTTGTCAAAATCTATTATTAGGCCTACCCCTTCACATTGGCCAGAGGCAGGAAAGCGCACTTCCGAGCATCATAAAATAAAAAAGGTTCCAGTGAAGGGCTACTGATCCCCTCCAAATGACTCTACCACATCATCGTGTCTGTTTTTTTGTTTTTGTTTTTTTTTTCTTTTTGCCTTTGTCCTGCACCTCGACTAGAGAACCCAAAGATAATCTCCGCCGGGCAATCGTTATACATCTAGGTGAAACTCTTTTCGTTAAGAAAAATCTATTTGAAAGGATTTTTTTTTGCAATCTTATATCCTATACTTTTAATTGTACTCTGCCTGCACCAGCGGTCTAATCTCAAAATTAGTTAACAGTCGTTAGTCAACTTTGGTGGGACTTTGTCAATGTAATTGATCACAATACAAAAACCTACCGTACGCTACAAGTCCCGACATATATTTTTTTTAAATATAAAATATCTTCCGCATAGGCCTATATATGTATATAGTACGAATGTAGGACTATAGCGAAATGTATTTTTACGAGTATTGTCTTTTGATACACCAACTTTTTATTGCCCCAGTAAAGTTAAAAATGCTCTTAACGAATAACAATGAACAGAACAAAACAAGAAACGGAACTCTTGGCGCCGCCATTAAAATTCGTGTAATGTATAATAGAAGATGGCTATTGACGAAACACGGTGGAACAATGCACAAAGACAGGACTTGGCGGCACATAGAGTTGTTTGCAGGACAATCGAAATGTACTTTTACGAGAACTGTTCTTTGGTTTACTAACTGTAAAGTATAATGTTAAAAGTATTGCAAAATAACTTAAATAACCTACATTTAGTTGAGTTCACCTGGACAATTCAACAGAGCTATTATAAAGAATGCCAATCTTGGGAGCTTTTTGATAGTTCTGATTGGGGTAAACCCTTACACCATAACGTGTTTTTTGTTTTTTGTTTTTTGCCTGTTCGAAACACATTGAAAAGTATAACCAGGTAAATCACCCGATTTTGGCGCTATTCACTCTATTTATGGCCTAGGCCTAGGCCTATATCATGTTGCTCATTTTCATCCCGGTGCACATTGCTCAAGAGTTGCATTTTTGTCTTTATTACGTTATTGAAAATGTATTCATCTAACTTTGAATGTTTTTTAAATATATCTTTTATATTTTCTTTCCTCACGGGACAAATTAAATTGCCTTGAGCGCCAAATTTGGCCCCCGGGCCACCTATTAAGAACCAGGGTACTAT